GAATTATTCATTAACATAACAATATTAAAAAATTATAGATCACAATTTATCTMGTTAACATYTTAAAGAGAACTTTAAATGATATGTATTCTTTTAAACAAAATAAAATAAGAATTACTTTTTTTACAAATAAAATAATTATCTCGAAAATAATATGTCATATTTATTTAAAAAATATTTTGCTCTAGAATATTTAATTTGCATACAATTTAATAAGAAAAAGTCAAAAAAATTAAATGTCCTTTAGATCGTATTCGTAGCAATGAAAAATGAAAATCATTAATAAAATAATTTGAAATAGGTTTTTTATTTATATTTTAACCATGTCATCAAAATGATGTGTCATCCACATCACTTCATTGAAGCCAAGCAAAACAAAAAAGTAAAAGAGTTAACTGGTTTTAAAAGTAACAGGTTATCCGTTGCTAATGAGTAAATTTTTTAAAGTATGATGTCCTAATAAAAAATAATTTGAAAGTACATTATAGTAATAAAAAAATAAAAAATAAAGATACTATAATAAAGAAATTTATGAAAGCAACTTATTATTTCATGCATTTAATTTTGAAAAAAACGTGATTTACTTAAAAAATATTGAAATACAATAATTTTCAGAAGGCCCATAAAATCGAGAAACGGGCCATTAACCAAAAGCCCAATACTGTGATGAAAAGTCCAACCTACTATATAAACTTTGTATCTTAGGGTTCATCTTCCTCGGCCGACTACGGTACAACCAAACCGCGCGGAAGAAAAATCTAGGGTACGTTCTTTCACTTATTCGTCTATCCGATTGATGAATTGATGCGTGATTCCATGTAGAAATGTTATGATATGCTTATTGATGGTTATGATTTTTGTTCGTTTTGAATTTTTGCGAGTTTTCTGCATTAGTGTGCCTGTGTAAGCAGGAGTGTTGTATATCGTTTTGTATCTGTACAATTTAGTTATTTTTTTTATTTTAGAAGCCTGCTGGTGTTTGAAATGTAGTTTCTCCAGTTGTGGAAATTAGTTTTTGATGTTAAATTTGTTTGATCCGTTTCCTTAGCTGATCAGCAGATGTTTGGTGTTTTAGGGTTATGATACTGTAATATCTGCGGAATATGTGATCAGCTTCATGTTTTAGATTACTGTTGTGCACATTTTGTTTGTATTGAGGGTTTTAGTGTAGTTAGGGCATATTATAGTCAAACTGCATATGCTATGTGGGTAGTGCGTATCTTTTGAAGCAAAGTTGGAATATTGCTGACTTGAATAGTTATATTTTTATTGCTTTAAACAATGTTGCATCCATATGCCTCCTTACCAAATTTCTTGTATAAATGTTCTTGTTTTGCTAAGTTTGGTCTAGTAGGTATGGAGAACACAATGAGGAACATGTTCTTTTATTAGTATCTGCCGGTTTTGGTAATTGAAAGTTTCATATTGTAAATAAGGATAATATGTCTTTTTGAGATGTAATTCGCATACTTAAAACACTGCTTGAGTTCTAAATTAGGAAGCCCTTATCATAGATATTCTAAAGTAAAAACAACGAACACCTAGGGAAAGATCAACAAGAAGTGGAGTAGCCACAATTTGTGTTAACAGACGTTCTAAGAATTATGCTTCTGGAACAACAGGGACCTCATTGCTACCCGAGTCAAAATGTATATGCTAAACTACTAAAACATAGCCTTAGCTTAAGTGCATGGATTTATAGACTTGGAGGTTGCTTGTGCTACCCTTTTATGTTTCAGGAGTATTGATAATACCTGTAAAACTTGCTGTGTTGTATAATGCAATATATTGATTTGTACTTGTATGTAATTCTGTTTTCAGCACGAAATGGCTCCAAAACAGCCAAATACCGGACTCTTTGTGGGTCTAAACAAAGGACATGTTGTGACCAAGAAGGAACTAGCACCACGCCCTTCTGATAGGAAAGGGGTAAGTAATCAATTGTGTGGTCATTTATAAGAACATTTAAATCGTAATACCGGTTGTCTTATTTTGCTTTTTGGTGTTGGTTTTTTTAGAAAACAAGTAAGAGATCACACTTTGTGCGAAACCTTATCAGAGAGGTTGCTGGGTTCGCTCCTTATGAGAAGAGAATTACCGAACTTCTTAAAGTTGGAAAGGACAAACGTGCCCTCAAAGTGGCCAAGCGAAAGTTGGGCACACACAAGAGGGCAAAGAAGAAGCGTGAGGAGATGTCCAGCGTTCTCCGCAAGATGAGGTAACTCAAACATTTACATATTATATTATGCTGAATGAAGTACTGATAAACATCATGAGTTTTTTCCTTGATAAGTTATATGTTACTCATTTTCTCACATGGGGTTTGTATTCTTGTAGGTCTGGTGGAGGTGCTGAGAAGAAAAAGTGAGCCCTTTTTGTTGTTTCAGAACTTTAAAAGATCTTTTGATATTTGTGCTGAATAGATTAGTGGTTTTGGGTATTTGTTGAACCTCCTTGTATTATGTTCTTGGATTTTGATTTAAGATTGTTTTTTAGACCAATTTTGTGCTCCCAAATTACCGAACAACATTCCAACCCTTACCAAAATAGTATCTAATTCAATGATATCATCAAGGGTGTGTTGGTACACAAGAGAGGGATCCTTATCCTATGTTTGGTAGGGGTGCTCATGGGTTGGGTTGATCGGGTTGAGGACATTTGAACAACCCAATCCGATGCTTACGGTTTGGGAAAATCTTAACCCAACCCAACTCAAATCAAAGTGTAACCCAACCCAACCCAACCCATACGGGTTGGTCGGGTTGATACTTTGGTATATTAAAATATTCATCTAACCTTGAATATATTATTTCTCTACTCATAATTTCTTTTTCGTCATCAACCATTTGATAAACTTATTCATATTCTTATGTATATCACATTCAGTTAATTTTCTCAATTTACATATATATGTTCATAGTTATTGAATGAGTTATATAGAGATATAAATAGATTGAAAATATGTGTATATGAAAAACATACATGATAGTATAATTGTTTAATGTATATATTAATAGAAATTCAACAATGATATTAAATCCAAGAAATAAAAGGATATCGGGTTGGGTTCAAATAATAATAACCCAATATCAACCTAATACCTACGGTTTGACAATTTTACAACTCGATTAGACATCGGGTTGCTTCGGGTTGGATTATTTTGCGTTGGGTTGAGTTGGGTTGATCGGGTTAGTCGGGTTGATCGGGTTTTTTAGCACCCCTAATGTTTGGCATGAATTTTATGTGAAACAAAGTAAAATAGGTCTGTTCCACCCTTACCCCATGGAAGTGAAACAAATTTATATTTTATCAATATAATCTCAAAATAAAACTTAATTCTCTTTTAAATTATTAAATAGGTTCCTTTTTTACATTGTATTCATTTTTTAAAGATAAAAGTATAATAAAAACCAATTGACTTTCTTGTTTGGAATGATTAAGTCCTTAGACTTTTTTTTTGGAACAAATAAGTCCTTGGACATTTCAAAACATGTTAAATAAGTTATTGGACAATTTTTTTGGAACAAATAAGTCCTTGGACATTCCAAAATATGTTAAATAAGTCCTTGGACATTTTTTGGAATAAATAAGTCTTTGGACATTCAAAAAAATGTTAAATAACTCCTTGGACAATTTTTGGAACAAATAAGTTCTTGAACAATCAAAAACATGTTAAATAACTTCTTGAACTTTTATAAAACATGTTGGATACATTCTTATGACTTGTACAACTAGTTAAAGTGGTAAAATAATGAAAAAAATGGGGAAAAAAACCCAATGAACATTCATATTTTGAACGATTAAGCCTCTAAATATTTTTTGAACCAAAAAGTATTTAGATCTATAAAATTAAACAAATATAACAAAAAAGTACTTACATTTACAAAAAAATAATTACATTTAAAAAAGATTTTTGATAAAGTTTATTTTAATTAAAATTAAAATATATTCTGTCAGTGATTTTTCAAACAAAAAAAATAATTATTATTAAATTTATTTTAATTAAAAATATATATATATATATATATCATGTATGTGATTTTTTAAATTAAAAAAAGATTACTGGTGAAATTTTTTTTAATTAAAAATGATATATTTTATAATTTTTTTATTTTTTTAGTTTAAAAAATCACTGACAAAATATATTTCCGGATTTTTTTCACTATTTTACYACTTTATCATTCAAAATATGAATGTTCATTGGGGTTTTTTCGGGATTTTTTTTTCACTATTTTACCACTTTAACTAGTTGTACAAGTCATAAGAATGTATCCAACATGTTTTATAAAAGTTCAAGAAGTTATTTAACATGTTTTGAATTGTTCAAGGACTTATTTGTTCCAAAAATTGTTCAAGGAGTTATTTAACATTTTTTGGAATGTCCAAGGAATTATTTGTTTCAAAAATTATCCAATGACTTATTTAACATATTTTGGAATGTCCAAGGACTTATTTGTTCCAAAAAATTATCCAAGGACTTATTTAACATGTTTTGGAATGTCCAAGGACTTATTTGTTCCAAAAAAAAATCCAAGGACTTAATCATTCCAAATAAGAAAGTCCATTGGTTTTTATTGTACTTTTCCCTTTTTTAAATTTTATTTATGGTATTTTATGTTTCTCAAACTTTTATTTTATTGTCCTCAAAATATTATTTTTACATAGTTTCTATAATTTTATTAATTTATGTAATTTATTATATATTAATAATAAAAAATAATGTTGAAAAGAAATAACAATAAAAATAAAAAACTATATAAACTTTTTATTTGGTGTCATTTTAATTGTTTTGACGAAAACTTCAAATAATATATTTTGTTATAAAAAAAAATTATTCTATTATAATGTAATAAACTACATAAATTAATTAAAATAAACAACTAATCAAAGATAAATTGGTCATTTTACTTGTTTTGTTCTATTCAGTTTTATTTTACCAAATGTTGAACAATCTTACTGTTCTGCCACACCTAGACACCAAACACACCCTAAAATCTTTCACATTTTACAACCTTAATAAAAGCAAACCTAGTATATTATATTTCACTCGGAAATGAGGTATGAGGTGTACAATGTATTGCAAACCTGCAAGTATGTTTCTCAAAATTGAAAACAAAAATAGACAATGGCATAACCTTTGAATCTAAAGGCCAACTGGTTACCTTCCATGGTCAACTCTTTTTCTTCTTCCCTGTAACTAAATCATTATCATCACCAAACAAATCAGCTATCCTCTTCTTCCTATCCGGACCGATATACGCCATCAACTCTTCTACACCCATTTCCTGAAACTCTTCACTGATTTCGTGTTTAACAATATTTGATTCATCTACACACCCGGAAACAGATTCAGCCACTTCTGTATTCTCGCCCAACCGTTCATTCAAGAATTGCATCAACACAAAACTGAGACCTCTAAGCATTTTCAAGTTGAATTTTTTTGATAAAGATTCATGCCCGACAAAAGACGCCCTTCGGATAGCCATCTCCTTCAGACTGATGAGTAGATCGAGCTCAGATTCTGAGAGAGAACAGAGCCAGCGAACATCTTCAATCTGATTGTCTCCTAACATCTCCACCCTTGGCATGTAAAGAGGGTATTGTGTTTCAAGAACTTCCAATCCTGCTGGAAGATTGATGTAAAAAATATTGATCAAAGCTAACGAATTCTAAAATGTTAGTTATTAAAAACACGCAGCATATTGTTAGTAATCCGACAAACACATAATGATTCTCCTACAAATATTCACACTTTTTCCAAACCCTTAATACAGACAGAATTCTAAGATCCCTCCTCGGGGCAAATACTTTTGTGCACAACTCTTCTGGTTTGAAATGTTAATTACCAAACAGATAAAATTACTATCAACACCTTACATTTTGACAAACTTTAGTTATCAACCAGTTTGATATTTCTTTCAAAATCACGAAGAAAGGTTTTTCGAGTCAAATTGGTCATCTATCTGATATTTCTACAGAAAATGTTGCATACTCGATGTTGGCAAATGACCTATACTGTATTTGTCTCTTGGCAATTAACCATGTGCAAATCAACCATGCCAAATATCAGGAACTTAGAGAACATGAGAACAAGAGAACTCTGAAGGTACCTAGGTATATTATGTGAATCTTACAATCTTCACATGATACCTTTACAACACACACTTGAAGGTGATGTGAATGTTACAATCTTCACAGAATGTACGGGTACACGAAAGTGAAAAATTCTTACCTGACCTTGATTCTAGGAACTTAACAATATGATAGTTAACAATGGAAAACAAACACACATTATCAACAACAAAAAGAATAATAAATCCTTTAGGATGAAAAAATTGACTTTTACTTTGCATCAAAGTGAGAAAGATAGTCTGGAATCATGATAACTAATTTTTCAACCACAGTCACCGATAACAAGTTGCAAGGCATTCTTTTACACATCGTACAACAATTCTGTGTAGGATATGAACATCAATAACTAATGCATAGGTCCAACTTACTAAAGCTTGTGACGTCAATGATCTAATACAATTTCTCGAGCCGAGAATAATAGAATATCCCAAAGTTATACCAGAATAAACAAATTCATGGTTAAGAGCTAGCAATATTCCCTTATAACGAGCCCATAAAAGGGTCCGTATTCATATCCACAACCAATGAGTGACGGAATGTTTACATAATTAATAAACTTTAGTAGAATACTACTGGTTAAGAAGTCAATGTCTCACAGAGAAAGCTCTTTAGATTCTTTATCTTAGTATATGCAAGAAAGGATGTTTTATTTGCTAATGGCTTGATTAAGTTTAGCACTTTCCATTTTTTGTTTTGCTTTTAATATTGATGTTGGTTCACCCATTTCTCATACACGCTCCTAGTATTACAACGAAGACGAGACTTCTGCGCATACTAGCTATTGTGTACGTTGGCAACCCTTTTTGTATCTATTATATCATATTTTCTCCAAAAAAGTACATGTTCCTCATTCTAATCCAATTCCGTAGCTATCTAGCAATTACTTTGTTTAACGGGCATAATTTTTTTACCACAAACCCCTTTTGTTGGAGTTAATTGTGATTAGAGTAATGTCCATAAGGGTTAAAAATCATGCTATTCCTTACCATGGTTGTGTATATGATGGTGATTTTCAAGAATAATACAATAGAGAAGTTTGCAACACTTAAAAAAAGAGAGAAAGCAACACTTTTTAAGTGAAGAACGGTGATCATGATAGAGAGCTTCAAAGGTTGAAGGTCCTGAGATGGTGAAACAGCAATCAGTTCCATCGTTCATGTTCACTACTGCTTGTTAAGTATTACTGAGATCTTAGGTTTGTATTTAAGTTTGCGTAATTAGGAATTGTAAACGGAGTGCACGTACCAGATTATTTCCAGCCTCCAACACAGCTCCTGCAAGCAACATTTTTCTAGTAAAGGGACTTGGGTATCAGCTCATTATGAGACAAACGAACTCATTTTTAGTAACTCGAGGTTACAGACTTGCAGATAACAATAACTAATTCTAAAACCAACCAGCATAGCAGCAGTTGGAGGCCGATCCTGAGATTTTGGATGTCCATGGCGGAAAGCCAAAAAAATGCCCCTTATGTGTGTATATAAAAACCACAATAAACAATTTGAAGGGGTTTGGAACCTAGTCAATCTAGGCGGCTCATCTTCACGCTGATTTTTTTTAAATACAACAAAAAGGATGCAGGGGGGACATAAACCAAAACCCCGTGTAACAAAACATAAAATACATTACCATTCACCTAAAACGATGCCTTCTTGCGTTTTTTGAAGCAAAAATATCTACATTTTGTCATAACTAATATCAGCTAAAGCAGCTCCTAAAAAGCTTAAGCCTTTATCCTATACTAAGCATCAATCTTAAGCCTTTGTCCTATACTAACCCGCTTCAAAACAGCTCCTAAAAAGCTACTAAACAGCCCTAAAAAGTAAAAAAAATTAGGGCTTGAGCAAATTGAAAAGAATGGAAATTCCATTCACATTTTTGTTCTCCTGCATTTTTCATTTTTATATTATTCTCATTTCTAAAAATAATCCCAAACACTTTGAAGTCTTTAGAGGATGTAAATAGTGAACAGGAATTTGGGCCAACCATCCAACAAATAGCAGCAGAAGCTTTGACACACAGCAATGTCTGCAAATATGCCAGCCCAGAAAATATAAAATGGAAGGACAGAACACAGAAGTGAGTAGCCAGACTAAATTCATGGCTTTTACTTAGAAATTGCAAAATAAAACAGCCACAAGTCCCAACCAGTTTAAAAGAAAACCTAAGTAGGCAGAGCAGCTTCATTGTAATGATGTTTACAGAAAACCTAAGTAGGCATACATACAGATTTAGTATATTACATATTTAAAACTTAAAAGAAAACCTAAGTAAGCAGGGCAGCTTCATCTAAATTATGAATTAATCAAACAAGAATTAGAAACATAAAATAAGTAGTAAAGTAAAGTAAATAAGTAATCCTAAGTTAAGCCCTAACCTCACAACAGTAGTCAGTGTCTCACAGACCGACGGGCGGAGAGCTAGAGGCAGAGAGCGACGGGAGACGGAGAGAGGCAGGCAGCCGCAGACCGACGGCAGTCGGAGTCAATAGTCGTGAGAGGCAGTCAGGCAGAGAGCGAGAGCGAGAGCCGTTTGCGATATTGATTTCGATTGAGATTGAGCGACAGAGCGTGAGAGGGATGCGAGAGTCGAGAGGAGTCGTGGGAGGCGAGAGTCGAGAGGAAGGACTGGCAAGGTTAGATTTTTTTAACTGAACTTATATATACTTTGGGCTTTATAAATTTGATGTGATTGGGCTTTATGCTGTTTTGGGCCATCGTCTTCTGGGCCTATGGCCCTACTTGGAACATAAATCATGGACCATATCTATACTATCTTATAAAACATTTGTCTAAAATTATTAAAAACAACCTTTTAAGCATACAGTACTACCAGCTAATGCCAAATTGCTTAAAAAACAACCTCTATTGCTAATGGTGCAACCTATTAAAGCCATATCCCTAATCCCAATCCCATCTTATCGCCAACCTTTTAAGCATATCCCAATCCCATTTTATCGCCATCCCTAAAACAAATTCGATTTTCAAACAGATTCTGAGATAGATTCATGAATCAAACAAATGAAAACCAACAAAATACAAAATATAATTGGTATTTAAATTCTGGTACCTTGAGTTGAATCAAATCGAAAGAGTCAGAGAGAAGAGGCTGTGATTGTACTTCAATCACAAAGCGAGCTGTTAGGGTTTAAGATTGAGCCTGTGTAGATGAAGTCGCTAGTGTCAGAGAGAATAGACGATGACCAAGTTAGGGCGGGTTTCCTGAAATCGCTGGAATGGTGGATCATGGATGCGGGGTTTGTATTTCGGGTCAAAATTTAAACCCATGTGTAAAGTGTTGACTAGTCTGAAAGTGATGGCCAAACCGGTCCAGCCCGGCCCGGTAAGGACCGGCTATAGGACCGAAATCTGGGACCGGTTATGGATTTGGGGTGTTTTGTGGGATCGGGATTGGTTATGGACCGGCCCGGCCTGTCTCGGTTTTTAGAAAATGTAGCTATTTTTATTAAATTTAGCCGTTATTTTTCCAAAAAACTAGTCGTTTTTTGCCTCTTTTTGTATTTTTTGCTTTCTAAACACTATATATAAGTGTCTTGGTTGAAAGATTTACATACCAAGTTCTCGATTTGCAAAAAAACGCAAAAAACGTTCACAACTATCGGTTTCTCACTATATTTTGTAAGACAATGTAATTTCAATTATAATAAAACACATTTTCAAAGTGTATTTGAGTGACCCAATTAGGGGTGCTCAAAAAACCGACCAACCCGATCAACGCAATCCAACCCAACACGAAATAACCCAATCCAAAACAACGCGATGTCTAATCGAGTTGTAAAATTGTCAAACCGTAGGTATTGAGTTACTATTATTTGAACCTAACCCAACCCGATGAACCCGATATCCTTTTATTTCTTGGATTTAATATGATTGAATAATTTCAATTAATATATACATTTGACAATTACACTATCATGAATGTTTTTCATATATACATATTTTCAATCTATTCATATCTCTATATAACTCATTCATATATATATATGTTCAGTAACTGTGAACACATATATGTAAATTGAGAAAATTAACTGAATGTGATATATGTAAGAAATATGAATAAGTTGTATCAAATGGTTGATGATGAAAAAAAAATTATGAGTAGAGAAATAACATATTCAAGGTTAGAAGAATATTTTAATATACCAAAGTATCAACCCGACCAACCCGTACGGTAGGGGTGCTAAAAAACCCAACCAACCCGTACGGTAGGGGTGCTAAAAAACCCGACCAACCCGATGAACTCAACCCAACCCAACCCAACCCAACCCAACGCGAAATAACTCAACCCGAAGAGACCCGATGTCTAATCGAGTTGTAAAGTTTTCAAACCGTAGGTATTGGGTTGATATTGAGTTACTATTATTTGAACCCAACCCAACCCGATATCCTATTATTTATTAGATTTAATATGATTGTTGAATTTATATTAATATATGCATTAGACAATAATACTATCACGTACGCTCTTCATGTACACATCTTTTCAATCTATTCACATATCTATATGACTCATTTGTATATATGTTCAGTAATTTTAAACATATATACGTAAATTGAGAAAATTAACTGCATGTGATATATGTAAGAAGTATGTATAAGTTGTATCAAATGGTTGATGATGAAAATAAATTATGAGTAGAGAAATAACATATTCAAGGTTAGAAAAATATTTTAATGTATCAAAGTATCAACCCGACTAACCCGACCAACCCGTACGGTTTGGGTTGGGTTGGGTTGGGTTGGGTTGGGTTGCACTTTCGTTTGGGTTGGGTTAAGATTTTTTCAAACCGCAAACATTGGGTTGGGTTGATCAAATGTCTTCAACCTGATCAACTCAATCCATGAGCATCCCTACCGTACGGGTTGGGTTGGGTTGCAGTTTGGTTTGGGTTGGGTTGGGTTAAGATTTTTCCAAACCGCGAGCATTGGGTTGGGTTGTTCAAATGTCTACAACCCGATCTATGAGCACCCTTAGACCCAATCACAAATTTTATAATGTATTAAAAACATACATCATTAAAAAAATAAAAATAAGAATATTATTTTTTAATGACGGGGACCGACAGCCCGTAACCGGTTACAATAAAGCTTGACCCGGCTCAACTTTTTCGACCCGAACGGGACCGATTACGCCGAGACTGGTTATGGCCGATTATGAGAAATCTTGGGACTGGTTGGGCCCGGCCCGAGACCGGTTTTAGACCATCACTAAGTCTGATAGAAAAAAAAGAAAAAAACTTGGGCCCAAAAAGCCCAGGGCTAGTGTATCGAAGCCCGATTCAATCCACAAAGTTTGATCGTGTCGAAGGCTAGGTTTTCAAAGATTCGAAAAACCTCATTAAAGCTGAAAAAGTTTAACTTGAGAAGCTTGGTCGGACCCTTTTTCCATCCCAAAGCCCGTCTCGGACCTAAAAACACTTGAAGCTTTCTTTTACTCATTGAAAATGGTTTTGAAAAGGCTGATGCCTTGTGCATTTCAGATTCTCAGGTGTCGACTTTCTATTTTTATTTTTTCCCCAAAATTATCCTATAATTTCGTTAATTATCAACTAAGCCTTTGTAATTTTAATATCAACGACAGTTAGCACTATTAAGTGTACGTAAAAAAATCCATCATGATAGAACGATTTACAGATGGCATAAGACCTCAATCCCTCTTATATAAATCTGTCTTTGAAGGCATAACTGGATTAACATTTTTGAAATAAATTCGATTTAATATGGACAAATAATATATAATTGATAATATCGACAACATCTATACTATGTTATAAAGTATTTGACAAAAATTCTTAAAAACTATTTTTTATGAATAAAGTACTGTTTATTGATGTATATTACTTAAAATTCAAGATTACAAATAAATTATACGTAAGTACAACTTATTAAAGCTTTATGTTTGAATTCTTGTAACTAACTGTAGATAAACATAATTAAATAAAGGATAAACATTTCATTTTAAATATAAAAAATCTTAAATATAACAAAGATAATTATTGAGTTCTAACAGAATACTTAATTATTATTTTTATAAAATATATTTAACAATAAAAAATAACTTACTTCGTTATTAACCTTGAATTAAATTATAACTAAAAGAAATTACACAAAAAAAGGGGAACTTTTAAATAGTTAATTTGATATTAATTTCAATATATCTTTTTCAAAATTTTATAATATCTTAAAATGTATATTTTATTCAAAAATAAAAACATTATCATTTTCTCAAAACCACATAAAACCGTATTATAACATTGATGGAGATAGATAATAAAACAAAATATTAAAATCAAGATGTATTTCGCTGTATTATGCGAATACCCTTATAGTATATTTCTTAATAACTTAACAAATAAAGTTTAAACTTATTTTAAAAAAAACCAAACAAGCCTAACCATTATATAACAAAATATTGAAGGATGGATTTAATATACGGAATATAAATTAGAAAAATAAGATAAATTATATACGTTAAATTGAAATCTTAAAACCATTTACTCTACGCCATCCAGTTATGTCTAGTCTAATGTTGGTGAAGAAAAAAATAGAGGGGTAGTTTTGTAACTTTTAAAAATAGGCAACAAACAAGTGCATATGTGAACCATTAGTTTATTTATGAATCAATTAATTAGTTCATATGTGAATTAATCGATCAGTTCATATATGAATCAAACGGGTTCATATAATCAATTAATTAATTCATATGTGAATTACACTAGTTCATATATAAACTTACAGTTCATATGTAAATCGCAGAGGTTCACATATACATTTTTTTTGCCACCTATTTATAAAAGTTATGAAACTACCCCTCTATCTTCCTCATACCATTTAGCGTAATATTTATTTTCAAAGAAAAATGTAATAAAATGGTATTAGAACTTGTTGAATCTAAAAAAAGACATGGTTTATTGATTCATGTAGGTACAAACTATAAAACACACCCACTCTACATACAAACACAACCTCTTTTCTACTGTTTTCTTTTGTTACTCAAACCCATCATATGTGAATTACACGAGTATCATAAACACGACGTCGTTATCAACACAAAGAACGTAACTTTACCTACTATTTCAAGAATATGTTAATCACGCATTAAGCTCGAAAGTGTATCATCGATCAAATCTTCGAAGATCGATTCTTCGGTTTCAATAACTATTTCTCGAGTTTCCGATCGAAGATCCATCCACATTCTCGATACTTCCAAGTCCCTTTTCACTAGTTGATCTAGCGATCGAGGATACGGGCCGTCGATTCGTGATTCAATTCTTTCCCACACCTCGTTTATAAGGTCGATTCCCTTCGGGAGGGGATGGATGTTCGGTTTAACGAACGGTAAATCGGGAAAGAAACCCAAGGAACGATCACAAACCTCGGTGAGGATTTCGTTAGTGGAATCGAAGAGAAGCCGTTGGTTGTGAGCGGGCCGGCTTGAAAAGATTTGTAGTTCGTTATATAAGGATGAATCAAGTATTTGAGTGGATGAAAGCCATCTTTTTTCGAAATCGTCCCAATTGAGGTCGGAAGCTAGAAGGACGGCTTCGACGTATTCGAATGCAGATTCATCGTTCTCGACATGATTTCGAATGTGTGTTTCTTGATTCTTGGTAGGGGTGACGGCTTCTTCGAATAGGATGCGTAGTGGTTGGATCGAAGCCTCCGCTGAAAATTTTGAATGAAATCGTGTTGGCATGAAACATCGATAAACTACTTACGTCACCAAAAGAGAGTGATCATCATTCAAATACGAAACTTTTTATTGGTAGCCTTGGGCTTCAAAGATAATAGTCAGGAAAATCCTATGGGTCCCAGAAAACTCAAATAAGCGACCTGCATAACGCCTACCATTTATTTGCTGGTTGAGCTGACTCTCAAGTTTCAAGTATGAAACTTGATGTGGAATACGGGTCAAACGGTACGTCTTAGGATCCCGATTGACCCCTAGTGCAGTAGGTTAGGTTCCGTGAGAAAGAACCCTTTTTCATAAAAAGGCGAGAACGGGTGAAAGTACCTTCATATCGTGTGAACGTTTTACAACCTTGACGCAATATATCACACGACCCAGGGTCACCCGAGGGCTCACGAGTGGAGTTTGTTTTCATGACTCGAACCCGCCATAAATTAAGATTATAAAGAAGCTACAGAACTTGATAGCTTACCAGATCGGGAAATGGTTCTAGCGGGGCTAATATCATCGTCTGAGAACATTGGCTCGAGAACCGACACAGGACTCGGTTTGCCGGTTTTATCGTCCGCGGTATTCTCGACTTCTTCGGTCTTTCGATCGACAGCAAGGGAAGATCCCGAAGGGGATGCCGTTGGAGAACACAATAACTCATCGTCTTCCGTTAAATCCTGGAAACAAACAAAAAATCGATTCTCATTTTCACGACGAGAAGACAAAATCAACGAGAAATCTACATCTCGAGAAGCTTTTCATTACCGCCACATCAACAACTTCGGTTTCTATCGGTGAAGATGGTTTTACGATCTCTAGAACACCTGCATTCGTTTCAACGACATAGATCAGCAAACCCATATGAATTTCATTACAAATTTAACATCGATCGAGTCAAAACCGATAAACTTGTTGCTATTTTTAGTAAGTTCAGTAAGAACTCAGAAAATTACTCGATTTGACCTCAAACATCCTACTTCTGTTCCTGAAACAAAGATCTGCAAAGAAGGAAACACAGTACCTTCTGTCTGAAGAACTTCATCTAAAACTTCCGGTTCTTGATGATCGTTTTCAACCCCGAGCGGTTGACTTCCGTTGACCATGGAGGAATTCCCACGAGGAGAGCTGTATTCCGGAAAAGATAGAAGCTTTCCTAGAGTTCTAGAATGCCTTTCCTCCATAAATTCTGTATCTTCATCTCCATTGCTAAGAATCTCAGATAAATGCTTCTTTGCCTCAATGTAGATATTAGATATCCGATAGCTCGTGTCTCCAAATTCATCGTTTTCCATCGGCTTTGTTTCAGATTTGCATAATCTTGAACCACCGTCTTGCGTTTTAAACTCGTCGGAAATTCTAGAAAATCGTTCGGAGAAGAAATGGTCTCTGTTTGGAGAACTCCATCTACTGCTTCCGTCAACAACGGGTTTTTCATGGCATCCTGAATCTCGTGGAGATCTTACGATGGCGTTTTTTAGCTTTCTCTTGATCTCCGTAAACGAAAACTGGGAAGTGCTTCTTTCGCTATGGAATCCGTTGGTTCTATTCGAAGGTAGCGGGCTATCGTTAACGTTCAGCGATATACATTCGTGTGATTTACTCCTCCTTCTGAAGAAGTTTCGGGGTTTATGTACGACATGTTCGTCTGATTTTGGATCGTTTCGTTCATTCTCTAACGAGTTTGATCGTTCGATTGACTTCGGCTTTTGTTCTTCGTTTCTGTTCTGATGGATCAACAAGAGGTCGTTCATTAGATCTTTGAGATCATGATACTGTGGTGTTTTCTGCGGTGGAACTTGACGATTGTTCGAGATTTCATAACTGTCGAAAGATCGACTCGTTGTTTTTCCCGTATGCCCGTGGTTCTGTACATGGCCACGACATTCTAGATCGCCAGTTTCGTCACCGTACATTTCTTCTTCCATGAGTTCCTTCACTCTTGTCCGCACCGCTGCACCTTTCTCGCTGTTCTGAGATTCAATCCGTAGATGCATCTCTTCCGAATCCGTAATTGAGTTCACTTCGGATGTCGGATACGAAGGACCTGCCAAAATAATATCGTAGTGAGCCATAAAACGTCATACATTGTCCTTAAAAACTTGTTAGCAGGCCGGTTACGGCCGGCCAACATTCTACTGTAATACCTTTATATAACATACAATTGTCTGGTCTTATCAACTTAAATTCTGTATTTTTTTTAGATAAATGGTTTCCTATAAAGTAAATTTTGTGCACCGAAAACTCGGTGAGGGTTGGTGCACCATGGCTTGGTCAAGCCTGCTGCACCTATGCTCATCGGGTCTGGTGCACTAAGGCTCGGTCAAAAATGGTTTCTTATAAAAGCCATTTTGTGCACCAATGCTTGGTCAGGACTGGTACACCTATGCTCATCGACTCTTGTGCACCATGGCTCTGTCAAGCTTGGTACACCTATGCTCATCGACTCTGTTGCACCAAGGTTCGATCAAGCCTGGTACACCTATGCTCATCGGCTGTGGTGCACCATGGCTCGTTAGCTTTAAGAGGTTGGAGAGGGGGCTCAAACCATGAAAACCAATATAGAGAAAATGAAGAACTTTATAGAAAAACATGTACAAATTTAACCATAAGGGTGGTGTTTGATTGGTTTGAGTTTGACTCCAAAGGTCTCAGGTTCAAATCCAAGGAGGAATAAAAATCCTCGTGTGGCCACGAAGGTTCAAATGCGGTGACTCCGGACTATCTGCAAAGCAGGTGGTCGTCCTAGATTAGTCGGCTCATATAGCGGATTGGATATCTAGATTAATAAAAAAAACATATACAAATTTGAAGAAGAGTCTAGAATTAAATGTTGTATAGACAGAATTTTTTTTTTGATTAACATGGATATATATCCAACCCGCTATGCGAGTCGACTAATACCAGGACGACCACATGCTTTGCAGATAGCTTGGAGTCAGCGCATTTGAACCTCCGTGGCCACAACGAGGTACTTTCGGTCAAGATCCTTACCCGTGGTACTTTCGGTCAAGTGTGGCGTATGATCTGAAAGCATTCGTCTAGTGATCCGGCCATGGCGGAAATCAAAAATGCTTCCTATACCAAACATGCAACCTGCTCGATCTTTATTTTGTCGAGAAAGCCGTTTTGATCTTCTCGTCATAAGAAAATTGGAGTTCTTAAACTTCAATATCATCGATCAACGCCTCTTAGGAAAGCAGCGACAAAAATCCTGATAAACAAGAATACACCCAAAACATCATACCATGAAACAAACATACTCCGTCCATCCTATAATAAATGTTCATAATAAAAACAATATTGTTTTACAAATTTGTAATTATTACACTTGTTAATTAAGTAAATGGCAATTTTATTCTTAATAATAAAATTTTCCATTCCAATAATTAAAGACTAGTTGTGTACTTGCACAATGCGGCGGGAGCCGTGAATTTTAACGATTTTGAAGCTTCACTGGTTTTATTAGAGAAGATTTAACGATGATACAAGTTACACTTGGTTTTTACATATCAATACAATTTGAATAAATAAAAATCATGGTTCCAATTACAGTCTATCGGTGAAAAAAATTGTATGACAGTTTAAAATTCAATATATTTAAAATCCAACATATTTAAATGATTCCACAAATGTGTTAGGTTTACACAAAGTGCAAAGAATCAAGAGATCGAGAGCGAGGCTAAGAGTTCTAGAGCAATTGAATAAGAGATGAATGAGAGAACGTTTAATAACTCATGGTGAATATCAGTTTAAATTTCACCTTGTGAGATGGGGAGAAGTATGAAAGGGTGAAGACATGAGTGAAATGTGTTAAAAGTATCTTGGTAACATGAAAAGAAAAGACAATAATGTGCATTGGTAACTTGTACTATATGTTATTTTAATTGTAGATTAAAAGATTTTTACACAGAATGCATAAAGTAATAGTACTTAATGCATTATGAGTTGTTTTTAAAACTTTAATGTATAGTACTTTATGCATTAAAAATTATTTTTAAAACTTTTGATAAATCTGATTTATATTCCAATAATTAAAGATGAAATTGGAAATTGAGTAAAATTAACACTTATTTAAAGAAAATTAATTAAAATAGTCATTTCAGCTGAGTAATTTTTTTTACACTTTCTACCTCTTTCCAGGAAAAAAAACATTTTTCACCAAGTCCGCAAAAAAAGTTACATTTCTCATCCAGATCTGTAAAAAAATGTATATTTTTCACCTAGACCAACAAAAAAAATTAAAATTTCAAACCTAAGGCTATTTTTATAAATCTTGTAAAAATGACTAAAAAATAAAACCAACCGATAAAAATGACTATTTTAATTAATTTCTCCTTATCTATATTTATACTATATTATAAAATATTTGACAAAAACTCTTAAAAATATTTTTTTATGCATGAAGTACTGTTTATTGATGCATATTACTTAAAATTCAAGATTACAAGTAAATTGTGCATAAGTACAACTTATTAAAGCTTCATGTTTGAATTCGTGTAACTAACTGCGGATAAACATCGTCAAATACAAGATAAAAATCAAATTTTAAATATAAAAAATCTAAAATATAATTAGGATAATCATTGAGTTCTAACAGATTACTTAATATTATCCTTATAAAAAGTTTATTAGATCAAAAATAAATTACTTCGTTATTAAATCTAAATCAAATTATAAATAAAAAAATTGAATTAAAAAAAATTACACAAAAAACAATAACTTTTAAATAGTTAATTTGATACTAATATTGATATATTTATTTTCGAAATTTTATAATATCTTCAAATTTATATTTTATTAAAAAATAAAATCATTATTTTTTTTTGAAAACCACATAAAACCCGTATTAAAACATCTACAGAGACGGAACAAAACGAAACATTAAAATCGAAATATATTTCGTTACATTGTGCAAATATCCTTCTAATTTAAAGATAATTTAAAGCAAAAATATGGATGGACAAATATATCTGAACATTGATCATACGACATCGTAAATCGGATATAACCCAAATATGGTAGTAAAAAGAGGTTACAAACAGCAATGAAAGACGACCATTTTCATTTTCACCTCGGCAAATTGTGGGACCCACCAAAAATTAACATTTTTTTATTTTGGATTTTACTTTTTCTTTAATTTATTCTATTTTTCCACCCGATAGTAATAATTATTGGGACCCCTTATTTCTCTTTTCTTATTTTGTCGTTGTTGAGATGTACCCTACTTTTACCAATAAATATAACATTTTATTAAATAGCAAATTCTATAATAAAAAAACTGCAGTTTGGTTTTATTTTTTTTATTTTATGTAATATATTTTTAAAACTTTTATTTTAATATTTCATCTGTGATGTTTTAAATATTTAAGTATCTAATTTATCTATATTATATTATAAAATATTTGACAAAAATTATTAAAAATAAAATTTTATATATAAAATATTGTATATTGATACGTATTACTTAAAATTTAAGATTATAAGTAAACTATACATAAGTACAACTTATTAAAGCTCCATGTTTGAATTTGTGTAACTAACTACGGATAAACATAATCAAATAGAAGATAAATATCTCACTTTAAAATATAATTAGAACAATTATCGAGTTCTAATAAAATAATTAATTATTATCTTTATAAAAAATTATATTATTAAATCAAATATAAATTACTTCGTTATTGAACCTAAATTAAAATTATAATAAAAAATTGAATTAGAAAACTACACAAAAAAATAGGATTTTTAAATAGTTAATTTTATACTATTATCGATATATTTTTGTCAAATTTTTATGATATCTTCAAATTTATATTTTATTCACAAAAAACATCATCGCTCTTTCAAAATCACATAAGAACATATTATAAATCGACTGAGATAAAGAATAAAATGAAATATTAAAATCAAGATGTATCTCGCTGCATTGCGCGAGTATCCTTCTAGTATATTAAAATGCATGAAAAAACAACGTATTTTAATATAATTTAATTTTATGTAACATATTGAAATCTCACATTTGAGTATCAAAATGAATATAATACACAAAATAAGAATCAAATCAAAATATGTTATATTAAAAATGAATGTTATTTTGCATGTGTCAGCGTTTGATCCCAACATTTGGTTTGCGTTCGAGTCCTGACCATGTAGAGATGTCGGTCAAGACTCGAAGCAAATGAAGAACTCGAACATTTTTAACAGATCTTCCGGTTTACGGTTCGAACAATTCAAGGATTCGAGGACGGTATTGGTATTACTTCAAGTAATTTGTAATTTTATGCATTTAAAGTTGTACATTGTTTTAAGTCATATCGGAAATCCTATTTCCAAGGGGAATATTCTTAAATCCAGAATACTATCGTTTTAGTGGCTTGTACATCATGCATTAAAGATTTGTACATTAATTGTATTAATCCGTTTCGAATAAGATAAGACAAATATGGTTTACAAAATTCAAGGACTCTGACAAGGAAAAAATACCTGAAATCAAAGCTCGTATGATGATATGAACACGAACAACTTAGCAGCTGATTGAAGAAAGTCAAAAACAAGTTCCAATTTTGACTTTTCAGCTCTCAAGATGTCCAACCGACCAAACTTCAAACCTTTTTGCTGTCCTTTTTCTCTTTTGATCTAATGTGATTTGCGATCCACTTGCTTGAAGAACGTGTTCATCACCATTGACGATTTTGAGACCTCTAAAAAGTCAAAATCTTCAACCCCCAAATTGATATGAAGATCGATCGAACATGCAGAAGTCTACCAAAATTTGCAGAAATTGGAACTGAATTCGATGTGGGTATCTCAAATTCACGATCTTTTTGCTCAAAAACAGATGCCCAGATGATAATATCTGCAAAATTTATAAGCATCTGGTCAAATCGTGAGACCTTTCTTCCAAGAAAATGTTAAAGACAGAAGCTTTTATGGTTCAAGAATTTATATATATAAATACAAAAACCACCAGAATTGTAAAAAGAAAAGAAAAAAAAGTGAGAAAAGGGTATCTTAAACCGACCAAAAAGAGAGAATCCCAGATGGATTAAGCACCACCCACTTATTATATCAAGAGAAATAGTTAGGGTAATGGTATGACAGCCATTAAAGACCGTGGAATCAAGCAATGGCGGTGGTGGTGGCGGGGGGGAATTGAGGAAAGAGAGAGAGAGAGAGTAAAGCCAAGGGGTAAATGTGTGAGTTTGAGCTTTTGTGTGTGTGTGTGTGTATGTAAAGATGGTGATGAAAATGGGAAGAGGAAAGGTGACACCTGGGTAATGTAATGCTGTTGGTGGGGGCCATGAAACACACAGTGAAAAACACACAGTATTATTGAAAAAGAAAGAAGGGGCATTGGAATAAAGCTTAGAACGTTTTTTAGCTGCTTGGAATTGCAGGTTTTCCATGTTCAATCATCATCATTTTCACCACCACCACCGTCACCACTCTCTCTTGACACATGCATTATGTGCATGCGTATATACACATACATGTGTATACATATAAATTTTAACTGTAACTGTATATTTATGGAAAGTAAAAGTAAAAGTAAAAGTAAACCGAATGACCGATGTGATGCTATGTTTGGCAAGCTACCATTAAAATTAAAAAATATTTACATTTAACTCTATAGCAAAAAAACTATTACAATCATATAGACTCATATGTTAAATTACCTCTTCATTTAAAGCCACACTCTTTTCAAACATTAATTTAATTCAAATTTTTAAAAAATCAAATACTTAAATTACATTAATTATGGCATTCTTGAAATCAAGTTTAATCGATTATTACAAAACAAATGTTTTCTTAACACCTTTTAAAACCTTATTTCATACAATCATACGAAATCCCGTGAAATCTCGAGCACCCCCTAAAGATTTCAAAATCCTTTGTTTGTAGGATTTCAATTAGAACAATCCAACAAACCAAACATGAGATTGAAATGAATTTGAAATCCAAACCCTCCCAAATCCATTTCGTTCCTGCAAACCAAACGCAACATTTGTATATCAGTGTTTACTAGATGTTTATTGATTTGCATTTTTTTTTAAATTATAGAGTTCTTTTATAAGATAATATATATACATACATACATGCATATATAAGATTGGGTTCCGATAGTAAATTTGTTTGGTTAGG